AACTGATGTTTGACAGAAAGGTACTTCCTTGTAAGTTATGTTTTCTCCAATTTACACTACTAATCAACATATGTAAGATTAGAAGCTATGTGATGATAGATGCTGATCTCAAGCATAGCATATACTGACAAAATTTACAGATCATCAATACCAAATAAAAGAATTACCAATTCATATATCAAGCAGTGCCCGTAAAGGACACAAATCAATTAGATCCAATGATCAAATAATTTAAACTAACAAATAATGATCTATAATTCATTCTCAACTTGATTAATTTTAATGGTTCTAATCATTTAAATGAGCAAATAATGATCCATAAAATTCATTCTCCACTTGATTAATTTTATTCGGTTCTAGTTTTTTGTAGAATACAGCATTTTACAACATGTAACCTTGAAAGCAATGTTTATAATGGAACTAAATTCGGGAGCAATTTGGATGAATGGCATAGAAAACAAGATGTGCAATAATATAAAAAACAATTGAACGCATCATGGGACAATCTTGAAAACCTTCATCTTTTCTATCCATGTGTTGAAGGAATTCACCGTGTTCCGGAAGCCAAGGAATCCATGTTCCTTGCTCTTGTTCATGCTATCCAAATGCTCGCTGCGGACGCCGAACACGGCATCAACAAACCACCAATTGGTGATCTCTTCAAGCTCGGTGTCCATGAGATCATTCTCTTTGACAATCTCTGCCCACACTGCCTCCTTCCCCGACATGGCATCTGCAAGCTTGAAGCTGCTCTCTTCTCCCTCGTAGCCAGACCATTCGACGCCGAATTGGTCTGCCAGCATCGGCCAGAGAAGTTTCCACTTGTAGAGATCCCCGTTGCTGCAATTAAATGCCTCATTCTTGGCGAATGGCTCAACGGCGGCCCAGATCTCGTGTTCAGCGATGAGATCCGCATCGGACGCGTCACTGAATCCCTCCCAGGCGACCCTGGATCCAGGCCATCGCAGCACAGCGCCCTCCTTGCGGCAGATGGCGGCATAAACGCACAGGCTGCCGACGACATTCATGGCGCTTCGGGGAGAGAATCCGAAGACGACGGTGGGGCGGTGCACGGACCAGCTGACGGCGCCGTCGCGGCGGGAGACCTCGTTGAAGAGGACGTCCTCCAGGTCGTAGTAGAAGTTGGGGCAATCGAGGCGGAGCATGTCCTCGGTGAAGGGCGGGTCCGGGGCGGCGATCTTGCCGATGACCTCGAATGGTCCGATGTAGTGCTTGCGGCCGGTCTGGAGGCAGACGTGGACGAGAGCGGGGCAGTTGGGGACGACGACGGAGAGGATGTTGCGGAGCATGGCGGAGTTCACCTCGCGGTTCTGGGCCTCCGTGGGGTGGGCGGACCAGGCGACGTAGAAGACGTGGGTGATGTCGGTGAGGGGCGTGAGGACCTCGGCAACGGCGGCGGAGTCGGCGAGGTCGAGGTGGAGGTGGGTGACGGCGGGGGAGGCCGGCGGGGACCAGGGAGGGAGCGGGCGGCGGGAGACGGCGTAGACCTTCCAGGGCCCGCCCGGGGTGTCCTGGAGCGGGAGGATGTCGAGGAGGGAGGTGCCGACGATGCCCGTGGAGCCGACGACGAGGGCGACGCTCTGGAAGGACGGCTCGGTGGCCGCCGCGTTCTCTTCCTGCCGCTTCTTCACTGCGCCTATGGCGCCCGCCCACCACCAGCTCATGGCGGCAGCGGCAGCGTACAAGCTAGAGGTCGGACGGATCGGCGGATTGCCGGTTGGGAAGGAGGAGAGCGGACGGACGAACGGGGGATATCGATCGGGAGAAGCCCAGCCCAGAGTAGTTTGTTTTGTTGTTGGAGGACCTGAGCCGAGCTGAGCTGGTAATGCGCGTCGTGTCGTGTAGTAAAGCAACGAGAAAGAGAGAAATAATGGGAGAGAGAGAGAAAAGATAAGGAAGAATAAAGAAAAAAAGAAAAAAAATGAAGGGTAGAATCGTACTTACACAGGTGTTTCTCTCTCCAATTCCTCCGGATATAATAAAATAATCCAACGGGTATCCATCAGCTAATTACCAGGTTTTTTTGGTGTCCTTTAGCAAATTCGTGTTCTTGCGATGTCCGTCGCCTAATTACACATTTTTTGGATATCCTGTAGTCAATTTTACCAATTTAGTAAATACATAAGAAATCCTGCTAAATTTTGGCAATATTATTATCTTGCCAAAATTTTGGCATTGCCAAAATTCGGTAAGGTTTATCCTAAAATATAACAACTTCTCCACCAACATTCTCTTCCCAACCAATCACAACCCTCCACCATTCATTTTCCCACCTACCTCCACTACTCATCCAACCACAATCCTCCACCGCTCACTTTTACCAACTTTCTTAATAACCGTGTCCAACCCTAAGAGCATGTACAATACCAAGCTATAAACCAGCTACAAACATATTTGAAGGAGATAAATGAGGAGAGAGAAGAGCAGCGGGCTACAGATTTGTAGCTGGCTATAGCACAGACTCCAAGACGCAGTGTGTGTATGACAGGTAGGACCAGGTATTAATAGTGTAGTATGTAACTATTGTATGAATGATCTATTAGATTGACTATAAATGAATTGGAGCTCGTAGTTGGCTATACTATTAAACTTGCTTTAAAACTTCTTATATTCTGAGACAGGTGGAGTAGTTAATAAGATTCTGACGCACCAGTACCCTACGAAATGAAACATTCAAAATAGCACTCATCATTATTATTATTATTATTATTATTATTATTATTATTATTATTATTATTTGCACTATGCTCCAGTTCAATCAGATCCTCGATGTGGTGAAGCACTATGTTCCAGTTCAATTAATCTCGGCTTGCCGGTAAAACGTTGATTTGAGCAAAAAGCCTGAAAGGCGGAGCCTCCTTATACCGCTGCGGCTATGTCCAGTAAAGATGGGTGGCGACTGGCTAATCACAAGGAACTTCACGATGAGAATGTCTCGATGTGATTCATTTTTCACGACCAAAAGCGGGGCAGGTTTCTCTGAACTGAGATGTGCCTCCGTCGGGAAGGTTGTCTTAACTGGATTACCATTTTGAATTTTTTGACATTGCGTTATTAAGGTGATTTCATGGAAAACTTGAGGATTAGCCTTACTCAGGATATAATAAAAATCAGATATCCATCTGTCGCAGCTCGTTTGTAGGACCGGAGTGGACTCATGAAGGACAATGTTTGTCAAAGCAGAAAACAACGTGTTACTCGTTGTTGTGGAAGCGTTGCCAGTATCCTGTAGACTCACAAGCCAAAGCTCTCTCTGTCCCCCACAACAAGGGAAAACGAATCAATTGCTCTGTACTATTACTATCGACCATGTGTGGTATGTCCGGTACTTATGTTTCACCGTAATATGGTTGGCAGTGAAACGTGCAGCACGGGCAAGAACACGAGGGCTGATTTGCCTGAATTCTGCAAGTTAGGGGCACTCCCATCTAGCACCATGCGTCCGTTCCATGGCCAATGTGCCAACCCCACTCTGACCACAGTCCACAGTCCACACTGTACATACAGCTAAGCATAGCACGCTGACTGTCAAAAACCTTAAAGACATCTCTACTGGTAGTTTGTCTAGAGACAGAACGAAATCTAGGGTTATGAGCTTTTTGAATATACTCTTCAAAAGCAGCAGATTCACCAAAACAAAGTGGAAGATCCTCTCTAGCAATCAACTTAACCAACTCAGTTCTAGCAACATCTGGCTTATATTCCCATTGACTAACAAAACCATCAGCATTAAACCGGAGCATAGACTGAGACAGAGCACCAGCATTTCTAGGTTTGCATGACTTAATATGCCTAATCAAATGTCCAGTACCACCAGATGAACAAGCAAACAAGATTTTATGGCAGTAATTGCATTTAGCACGAACACGAACCTGACTGCCATTTCGGGATTCATAGAGCTCTTCAAAGTCGTTCCATACCTGAGATCTGGACCGTTTGTTGCTAGCACTTAAGCCGGACGGCGCGCCGTTGCCACCGGCACCGGTACCGTCATCGTCCGGCTCCGTCTCTGTCTCCGGCTGCGACCCATCGATCCGAGGCGAGGCAGTGTTGCCGAAGACCTCCACGCGTTCCTCCTCCAAGTCATCTTCGTCATCACCCCGCATTCCCAGCAGCCTCAACTCAAAGTTGCAGGAGGATGGATCATCCATCGACGGCACTACGGTTCCTCAACGGTGGCTACCGCTGGCGCTCACCGCTCAGCGACCTACAATACACATAGAATAATTAGTGTTTAGGGATCGCATGGAAAAAAAAACTAAAGAAAAACATTGACTTTTTTACTCTACCTACCTGCGCGTCCGGAGCACCGGAGTTGCCGTTGACGACAGAGATCGACAGATCTACAAGAAGACGAGAACAGAGACTGGAAATGGGGGTGGATCTGACAAAGTGCTCACGGAGCAACGACGAGGGTGGAAAAAAAAGAGGAAATCGATAGTGTGGCCGTCGGAGAGGTGGAGATGAAAGAAAAAGAGAGAGAAGAACGGCCCTCAGCCCCTCATGCCCCCAGCGGTAGGCCGGCGACCGTCGGTGCTAGATCCGGCGAGGAGCGGAGTGATGGAGGCGTGGTCCACTGGTCCGCGTGGAGGAAGTGGAGCCGTGGAGTGGAGGCGTGGAGGCGGTGGAGCGACGGAGTGGTCGAGAAAGATAAGCGGTCGAGACAGAGGCGGCTAGGGTTAGGGTTTGAGGAGCGGAGGAGGCGAAGGAGCGGAGCGGCGGGGGCGGCTTATATATGCGAGGGAGGTGATGGGCCGGCTGGCTGGGCTGCGGTGTGCGTGCCTCGGTCGGGCCGTGCCTGCCGTTATAGCATGCCGGGCCGTGCCGGCCCACCGTGCCGGCCTGTTTCGTGCCGTGCCGTGCTGGCCCAGCGTGCCGATGGCGCGGCCCAAGCACGGCCCGGCTGTCGGGCCGGGCCGGCACGAGCACGACTCCAATTGGGCCGGGCCATGCTTGGGCCGGGCCAAACACGCGTGCTTTGCGCCGGGCCGCGGGCCACGGGCCATATGGCCATTTATAGCTAAGCTCCTTCCCTACATAATTCCGTCATCCAAATTCAGCTAGCCGGCGTCCATGGAGCTCAGCAATCCATTCTGCCACACCATGGCAATCCTGCTCGCCGTCCTCCTTGTTGCGGCGGCAGCAACAACCGAGGCGGACGGCGCCCTCTGCGACAAGTCCGACAAGGCGGCTCTCCTTGCTGTCAAGTCGGCCCTCGGCAACCCGCCGGCGCTCTCCGTCTGGAACTCCTCCACACCGTGCTGCTCGTGGGATGGCGTCTCCTGCGACGCCATCACCGGCCGCGTCACCGAGCTCACGGTCTTCGCGCTCAACATCTCGGCGCCCGTACCGGCCGCCATCGCCAACCTGACCAAGCTGCAGATTCTCAACCTCGCCTACAACCAGCTGTACGGCCCCTTCCCGTCGTTCCTCGGCCCGCGCGCGCTCCCCGACCTCACCTTCCTCCGCCTCGACGGCAACCGCCTCAGCGGCGCCATCCCGCCCACCGCCACCGTCTTCAACCTCCTCCTCGAGGGCAACCTCCTCACCGGCACGCTCCCGTCCACGTTCGGCGCCGCCGCCTTCGGGGAGGTGGGCGTCGCCGGCAACCAGCTGAGCTGCTGTTAGGAATCTCTCCTCTCGCTCTCTAGGTGTTTATCACAAACACTCAAGTTTCTGGCTAGTGACGCACGCACGCGCAAGAACTCAACAACACAGATAGTTTTGGTTGATGCGGCTTCACACAGCTCACACCATTTTCTTCATTATATAGACTTAAGTACATGCAAAAGATAAGGATCAGCCAACTAATTTGGCCTTGACTCACGCCTTACTCCAACGTGCAGATGCCATGCAACAAGGTAACTAGCTAGACCTATTCTTCCGCCACAAAATCACTTCGTGGCCTTCTAGCCTGAGCTGCAGCTCTGCATGCATCTTAACACATCCAACTAAATGCTTGCATGCAGCCGCTAATCACTAGTTCTACATGCTAATGCAACAGCCTTTACACATCGTAGATATCGGCACGTTCGTCCGGCCGCATCACGCAGCTCACAGCAAGCACGTTTCACACGTACTAGCTCGGATCCTTTGCTGCCACACACTACTACCTTGTGCAAAACCTATACAAACCAAATGCATACACTCTAAAGACAAGATTATTGCTAACAGCTGCGACGCGTCGATGTTGTTTGGCGCCAAGAAGAAGCTGAACGCGCTGCGGCTGTCCCGCAACCGGTTCGCGTTCGACCTCGGCAGCGTGGAGCTGCCCGAGGGGCTGGACATCCTGGTCATCGACCACAACATGGTGTACGGGAGCATCCCGCCGGCGGCGGCGGCGGCGGGGAGGAAGTGGCTGGCGTTCGACGTCAGCTACAACCAGCTGTGCGGGCCCATACCGCAGGGGCGGTACACGCACCGGTTCGGGGCCAAGCACTTCGCCGGGAACAAGTGCCTCTGCGACCGCCCGCTGCCGCCGTGCAGCAGCTAGCTTAAGCACGAACCCAGGCACTGCCCACTGATCGATTGGTTATTACGTAATTTGCGATTGTTGCTGCATCGCAGACATCCTTTTCCTCAATTTACTTTGAGATCATTAATCATCATTAATAAATTGTCAGTGATAAGCTGGCTTAGCCTAGAACGGCAAGATAAAGATGCGTTATATGCCTGGCCATGCTGTCCAGAATGTGTATTCAGAGGATTTGTGGTGCGTGCACTACTTAAAAGACGTTTTTTCACGGCGAGAGGCTTATACATTTTACCGGCGGACCATATTTTTAGCTGTGATTATCCATATATGAAGTTATCCCGTGAAAATAGATTTTAGCAGGTGGATAGCTTAAAGGAACCGCCTCTAATAATATTCCTACAAAAAATTAATTTTCACAGACGAACTACTAAGACGACTACCTTCAAAAACCATGGCCGAACAACCCACTAAAAAAAATCACCGCATCTGTCTAGTCCCCACGTCTCCACAACCACTCCCTATTTAACTTATCATCTCCTCTCTCTCTCTCACCATCACACCCTCTCCCTCTCCCTTTCCTAAGAGCGCGCAAGCCCAGGGGCAGTAGTGGTGGCTTGGCGAGGAGGAGGGCCACCAGCGGCGGTGGCTCAGCAAGGAAGAGCGGTGACGAGGAGGAGGGCCCAACGAGGAGAAGGAGGGCCAGCGGCGACGGCGGCTCGACAAGGAGGAGCGCCGATAAGGAAGAGGGCTAGCGGCAGATCGGCTCCTCCCCTCCCCTCCAATCCCACCGGCGGCGGTGGCTCTGCGACGAGGAGGAAGGGCGGCGGCTTGGTAGAGACGACGATGACCATTGTGCGCGGCAAGGGCAATGGTGACCACACTGCAAGGGCGATATACAACGACGGCGACTACGCGGGAAGGGCGATGTCGGCAGTTTCTATAGCTCCTTTGCTGTTTTCTTCCTCTAGATCTAGCTCCATAATTTCTTTTTTTTCTAGATCTAGCTCCATAATTTCTCTTTTTTTTTCTCTTTATTTCTGTGGAATATGTTAATCTTGTTCTTCTCATTTGTAAGGTAACATTTGATATGTGACTTGTTCTTCGCAATTGTGTGGTGGCATTTGATTTGATTTACATTGTGCTAAATATGTGTAAATGGCAGCTAAATGGGGATATTTTCAAATGTTTATTTTTTTAATTTATTTCCCAAAATTATGTCTGTAGGCGGTCGGCTTTAGGTGCCCATCTGCAAAATCACATTTTCACAAGTTAACCGCTTAATGGAGCCACCTGCGAAAATAATTTTCATAGGTGGACAAGAGCCCTGACTGCAAAAATCGTTGATTTTCATAGTCCTTCAGGTGCAGGCGTGGGTTTTGGCCGCCTGCAAAAATATTTTTTTTCTAGTAGTAACGCAAGCTAACATATGTCATCTTAATACTGATGTAAAATATTGTAAAATATTTTTTATTGTACCTGTATATAAAATTTTAAATTCAAATTCATAATGGTTTAGTAGTAACAAAAAGCAGAAATACAGTGGTTTCAGAATATTAACTTGACAGAGTTCTTTCTTTTTCTTTGGCTGCTCTTATGAATGACGAATCTGAATTTGAAATTTAGTGAAAGATAAGAAATACATATTGGTTTTTGATTTTTTTAATGATATTTGTTAGTTGTTGTAAATGATGAATACATTCATCATTGTGTATGGGATACGTTTGTTTAGCCGCCGGCCATACATCTGTTGATTTGTTTCAGTGACTAAACTGACGCCCAATTAAGCTGGGTAAGATGGAACATCGGTTGAGGCCCTATTTGATATTTGTTTCAGTGATGACTAGGAATGCCACACAGATAGGGGATATCTTGCTGGACGTACAAACTTGTAATTCAGCTAGGGAGGAATCCTATATATCCTATCCTATATATTTATAAAAGTCCTCCCCACTCAGTGCAATTAAAGCTAATTTCCTATGCTGTGGTTGTTCCACGTCATCTGAAATATTTTTCACCGCCGTAAGATTGATTAGATGGATTCGCTATGTCAGTCTCTCAATTCGGCCATGTTTAGTTACCAAAAACCTTTTCTAAAAAACATCACATCGAATCTTTGAATATATGTATAAAGTATTAAATATAGATAAATTTAAAAACTAATTACACAGTTAGGGGAGAAATCGCGAGACGAATCTTTTGAGCCTAATTAGTCCATGATTAGCCATAAGTGTTATAGTAACCCATATATACTAATGACGGATTAATTAGGCTCAAAAGATTCGTCTCGCGGTTTCCAGTCGAGTTATGAAATTAGTTTTTTCATTCCTGTTCGAAAACCTCTTTTGATATCCGGTCAAACATCCGATGTGACACCAAATAATTTCTTTTTCGCGAACTAAACAGGCATGCTAGCCCAGCTCCGAACGTGGGCATGTTGCAATCAAGTCCAGCCAAGGCCAGGCAATCACTACTGGCACAATCAATGGACATGGTGCATGAGCCCCCTAACCTCTCGGTTCTCCGTTGTTGATTGCTCCACTCCCCTGCTGAAACCGAGAAGAAAATAATGCAGCATTCCCCGACGGTCGAACTGCTCATCTCCTCCATGCGAGTTGGCCAGCCGCAAACGAAGAAAACTGATGGCCATCATAATGACAGCCTATGCCTTTACTCACACCACACCCATTCAGTGCTCCCCCTATGGTAGCTTGGATTTTGGGGTCGTCCTCTCCTCTCGACTCTTCACTCCAGTCTCCACCGGTTGAATTCTATGCAGGTTACTCCTCCTCTTAAGAACCTTGGAATTTGTTCGTGCTTCATCGTCGAAGCGCGTTAATTCGCACTAGCCTTGTACTCCCTCCCTTCAGTTTTATTTTAATTGATGTTTTAGACAATGACACAGTCTACGAGATATATCTTTAACCTTATTTTTCTATTATTATATATACAGTAAATAAATGCATGTTTACTTTTATTATAGTGTTTTGAAAGACAAATTTATATATGTTGTTCTAGTTTCTTTAAACTAAATATTTTTAAAGTTATTGATGGTCAAAGTTATAAAATTTTAATATCAATCTTGTTCAAAAACGTCAATTAATATAAAACCGGAGGGAGTATAGCATTGTTGTTCTCACTATTGCTTCTTCATCGATTTCGATCTACAGCTACCACATGTTAACCTTTATTTTTCCCCAAGGTTCAGTTTTTGTTTTTCACCGTGCAATGTCAGCATCCCCTCTAATGCTATTTTTCATTGGATTTTTCAAAGCACGTTTTTTCCCCAATAGCAACGAAGTTTATGAGATCCCCTGTTTTTCAATCTCTCTACCTCACTTTTTTTTTTACCACCAATGTGAGTTATATTGTCCTTTCTCAAATTTTGCTGATTTTAGTACATTTGGAGGATTCACTCTATTTCCATCTTTTAGCGCAATATTCTTTTCTTTCTAATGATGTATTGGCAACAAGTGATTTGATCAAGCAAAAAGGAAGAAAGCAAGCGTGCAACTGATAACCATCTTCAACAGTACTATACAGGATTACAGGTATTTTATTATTAACCAGTTCAGAACTTCTATTAGCCGGATTTCATCATCCTTTCACTAGGTATTGTCACTGTTCGTGAATACCTCACGAAATGTTCATGTATGAATTTTCTATGCTCTCTGGATCAGCCTTTTCGTTGGTAAAGGATTCCATGCATCAAAGTTTTTTTTATTATTCATCAAAAAGTATAAGCTCTACGGCTCTGCGAGGAAAATTTCTCGTCTTTTCACCCAAAAAGTGTGCAGCAGTGCAGTATGCGATAATTAAAATCGATGTTTCAAATGGTTTCACTCTCATTGGTAACCTCTTTTTGCCAAAAAAAATAATTAAACTTATATGATTTGTCCAATATTCAAATAAAATAATTTGTTAAATATAAAATGTTGTGTTCCCTCAGTTTTACAGGTTGTAACTATCTCTTTTTCTAGGACAGTTTGCAATGCAATGGCCTCTATAGTCCGCTTGTTGCAGCCTACATTATTTTTTTTACTTGGAAATGGCTTTGCCTAGCAGTGTATTTTCATTAAAGCAAAAAATATTTACAGAGGTTTACATACAACAAGATCTTAAAGCTACAAAGTTTGCAACCAATCAAAAACGGATTGCTTTAAAGATCCTTCATTTTACACAGATGTAGAATAATTTTTTTTGGCGAACAAGGCCTTCCAAGATTGAAATGATGGAATAATATTATCAAAAATTAGCCTATTACTCTGCTTACATATGTGCCATGATGCTAAAAAGAAAATTTCCAAGAATCCCTTTCTGCCATTTCTACCGAACATCCATCTTGCAAGAGTTACCATGTGAAAGAACTCCAAATTATGATTCCAAACAATTCCCAAAAATTGCCAACATCTCATACTGAAAGGGCAGGTAAAAAAGAGATGTAGCCGAGTTTCCCTTTGTCCTCCAGGACATAAGGGGCAGGTGAAATCATCATCCTCCTTTGCACAATGCCTTTTATCAAGCATATCTCGTGTGTTCAGCCTGTCACAAAATAAAAGCCACGCAAAAACCTTGACTTTCATAATACACTTGGTCTTCCATAACCAAACAAAAGGCCTATGAGGGCTCATAAGACATGAAGTTAAGCTTATATCTCTGAATTCCAAATAAAACTCCAACTGTCACCCTGTGCATCATTCAAATTCAGAGAATTCAAGAAGTCCTGAAGTTGCAAAAATCCCCCATAAGCCTAGGTAGAAAGAGGCAGCATGAAACAATCCTCCGAAGTCCTAAAGCACATTCTGCTAACCGATTCCTCCTTATATGAAGCTAGAGCATGCAGAGTAGGAAATTTGGAGCTAAGCAGTTCCTCATTCCACAAGTCATCCCAAAAAGAGCAGATTTTTCAGACTGGATGGAACATTTTCCAATACCTCTGAACAAGTTTGAGAGGGCCAAGTTGTCCTGGATAATAATAGGTCAGTGTACCGAGAATTATGTAAACAATTTTTGGAATAGATCGGTGAATAGTATGTTTCGGAAAAAAAAACCTGATAAGCACTTCTTAGTTCATTCTTCTATTGATGTTCCAAGTGTTTTTCTCTTTGTAGTTGTAGATACCTACTCCCTCCGTTTTTTAATAGATGACATCGTTAACTTTTGAACGTATG